CTTTCGCACCACTTCCAAGACCCGGCGTTCTTCGTCGGTTTGTCCAGAAGTGGATGCCTTGTTTGCCGCCTCAATCTTTGGAGGTGACAAGAACTGAGTACCAGGTTTGGGTGAGGGCGCTGCTTCGCCAGTCAGTCGTTGTTGTGGCGGCGAAGACTGTGGCGGCGAAAACTGTGGCCTCAGCAGCTGCAGAGCACTCCCGTGTTCAAAGCAATTTATTCTGATACACAAAACACTGTTGTTGACTTTGTCTGCTTGTCTTTCTTGCATCGAAGTCGGAACGATCATAATGCGGATTGCCATCACACAGTGTACGAATTCATGGTGTGCTTCTGAGTCGTTGCATCCTTCTTGCCGAGATTGGAAGAGGGAGAACGATATGATCAAGTTGTGCCAAAGCCGCTCGAGAACTGGCGTCGGTTCAGTCTGAGGGCTTGTTTCCGAGACGGCGATCGGCTCCAGGTGCTGCAGGAAGTCCGCCTACAACCAATGAGGGAAGGGTTCGGTCTTGCGGTACGAGGACTCGCGTGCACCGTGCGCCTCGCGGCTGGACTGCAGCAGAACGAGCAGCACCAGGGCCGAGATGGCCCCGAAAGCTGCCGGCCTCGTGCACCTGCCAGGCGCGACGGAATAAACAGCACTCAGCACTCTCTTCTGAGACTTCTGAGCTTGGTGCCCGGAATCTTGCTTCCGTCGCCCCATGCGAGATAAGCTGCCATCTAATCTAACAAGTTGAATCTTCAGCTCCGGTGAACTCTGAACTGAAAAGCGTGGTGGTGTTCACTCCGGGTCTCGAAACATCATACCGAAACATACCTGACTGGAATCTGCAGCTCTCCTGCAAGAACTCGGAACACGTGGAAGAAAATATGAAGATGCAGAAGCTGCAGCCATTGAATCGAACATCGTCAACCTGCGACTGATCCGTGTCGGATAAGAGAAAGCTAAGAGGCCTTCAGCTGCATGAAGGTGAACACAATTTAACGTACGCATGAAGTCTGTTTTGACAGCTTTGGGCCAAAAATGTGGATGAGAACTAAGAGGGTGGAGCCAGCTTCGGACTCCAGTACCACGTGAATGCAGCAGCATCTTATTCATCAGACTTTGTCAGGAAAGCTCCAGAATACGTCAGGGCGTAGCTCGGCAAAGCCGGCAGCGTCAGTCTTCTTACCACTCCGCTTGCCACAGACACTTGCGCTGCATTCATTCATTCATTCATTCTTCTAATCTCCGGTCTCGCAGGCTTCGCAGCTGTAGACCGGGCTAAGCATCGAACAGATTAGCCATTGCAGTCAAGACAGGGGGGCACTTGCTCAAACGGTTTGGTGGATACCTGACATGCTGCGCCTGATGAGGCGATTTTCATTTGGCCGGCCCAAACGGCAGACTTTAGCTGCTTCCTTGCTGCTTTGAGCTGCGAAAGCAGGCAGCGGCGCTCATGGCAGGATGAAGTCCTTGTAGTCCACTGGCATCAAGGTACGCAATTCTGCGGACAAATTGTCGCTCATGGGTGTTCCACAAGCCCGTGAATGCAGGCGGGCTGACGTTCTTCGCCCTCTCCACCGCATGTTAACCTGGAAGAGCTCTTGATGCAAGAAACCATGCTCGATCTGCCCCATTTGAATAAGAGCACGCGATTGCAGCACAGCTGGAACAGATGGCGACAGCAAGGTATGATGATATGAGCTGCAAGTAAGCATCCTAGGACTCGACTCATACTTCTTGCGATAGTACCCCGCGCTACCGCTGCTGATGAAAAAGCATCAACAGAGCTGAGCAGCGGAAAACTTGCACCCACGGCTGCGAGTGTGTCAATAGCTCCAATGACCTCGTCCCATGGCGGCCAGAACATTTCACCATTGCTCAACATTGGGAAGCGACATGTTTAAAATTACAAACATCATGCCCTGCGTGTGCAATCACAGCGTCTCGCCTGGAACGCTGCTGAAGTGCAGTCGGCCTTAGATCAAGCTGCTGGTGGCAGAGTTCAGTGGGTTCGATCGACAATTCACAGAGCAGTATTCCTTCTCGCAGGCAATCAAACAGGAAGTGGGTGTCTGTCAGGCCCTATTGCCGAACTGCTCATCGTCTTTTATCAAAGGTGCTCTGCGCCGCATGAAAACTGGAAGCTCTGATGCTCTGCCTGAGGTTGGGTCTGCAGGATACGCCTTTCCGGTGCACTTGGAAGCCAGCGCTGAAAGAAACTGCCTCAGGATTACCCTACTGCCGTCAGAACTCGCCTCAACCATGCGAAAGTCTCAGAAGTGACGAATTGCTCTGATTCGGGCCTCTCAGTGATCCTGAGCTTTTCTGGCTGCATGCGACGTGAGAATGCAAAGGAGCGGCCCAGCCCCCATGAAGGAGCCAATGACACCTCTGCAAAATGGAGTTGTAAGGCTCTGTTGGTCAGGCTCGTAGACAGCCACATCCTTTGTAGACCGGACCACTTCAATGCTTCGGCGGGCGTCCCGAATATCGTTTGATGCATGTCGTGTTTCTCGCCTGCCAGGTCCACAGCGCAAACCTTCTGGCCGCCGGCGCCATTGATCTGCATGGCAGCTGTAGTCATTGCAGTCTCTGTAGTCTCTGTAGTCGTATGAGTTATTGCAGTCTCTGCGTTTGCCCTGTAGCACACATGCTGTTCACAAACGCACCTTGAAGTTGAAGTCGGTACAGTCCTCGACACCCAGGATGACGCTTACAGAGTGTGCACTGCAAACGATTGGTCGGTCTGCTCGTCCTTTTTAGATAACAGCCTGCACACCCCTCGCAACCCACTCCAAGCTTGCGCTGGCCACGAGTTGCAACAACACGTCCTGCGTGGAAGCTTGAATTGCCAGGCCCATTCGTCCGAGCAACTGTGCTGCCTGATAGCATGTTGCGACCAAACTGAATGTTCAAAGTCACCCCTAAGCTTAGTGAGGGGCCATATTGCTGTTGAAGACGCACTCCGCTATCTCCGCCTTCCTGACGTTTGAGAAAACCTGCATGCATGCAGGGGACAAGCCAGCACAGCGTCAGCAACCATATGACGCAGCAACTTCTGCCAAAGGTTGGATCCTATGCCTCCTGCCTAGCAAAACCAAAAGTCAACTCAACGGCCCAGCACATGCACGCAGCCTTCTCCCACCACTCCAGGTCTGCCTGGTCAAAGGACGGTTGTTACACTGGCTGCAAATGGAGGAATTCCATGTTCGGCATCTTTTGAAGCTGAACGGCGGAGGCAAATTCGAAGTGCGGGAGTTCTCAGATTAGACAAGCCACGCTCCAAACCCAAACGACACATCCGTCGCCAGAAACAGTTGATCAGCCTGGTAAATTTTCGGTTGCCCCAAGATTCCATGAAGCGGCACTCCTGTCGTTTCTGACTCCTTGTGTCCCGTCATCTGCGCCTGCCTACTCTCGGTGGGTTTAAATTAGGAAGTTTCGGGTTGGGTTTAGGGTTTGAGGGCTCACAACTGACTGAAGTGCCCCATCAAGCAGCCTGACAATGCCAAGCTGCGTCGTCACATCGTTTCTGAGATGGACCAGTGTCGCGAGATAACGTTCCCGAACCACAACAAGATGTATCACGGGCTCGTCACCGATCAACACGACGACACAAGATCACCGCAAACTTCGACGGTTCAGCGAGACGAAGTCAGGCCAACTGAGTTCGTCCCACTTGTAAAACCAAAATTGAAACTACAAGATACTGACAACGCCAAACCAACAACGGATAACAACGGTTTCGAAGTGTCGAAGTCACATCAACTCGTGCAAGTGTCGACTTGACCCGACAGCACTTGCTGAGAAATAAGATATGCTATGTCTCTCTAATTCCTTGATGTTTCGTCATTTGCTCAACGAGTGTCTACCGTTGTCCTCCTCCACTTTGCTGCGCTGTTGTCTGGCATTTTGACACGAATCATGCGTGAAGACACACAACGCGCTTCTACTCATGCCGACACCGCATGCATGCAGTTGCTAAGCCTCTTGGCGGACCTCCACAGGCGAGGCAGGCCTAAGGGCGGTGCATGCAGCAAGCCCACAACTTGAACCGACAATGCCTTGACACGCAGCAATGCAACAAGTAGCAACTCTGCATTCCCATGCTCACAACACTGCAAGCTGAGACTTTGACAGCACAAACTCGCCTTGGTAGGCCGAAGGTGGAAACAGCACAGTGCACGGACGGAGCCTGAGGCCCACGCTTTGGTTCGAGCCGGCCTGCATTGCCAAGTTCGTTGCGAAAAAACGGATTGAGAGAGATGTCTGCACCTGACCAACTTTTTGCGGGAACTATTGATTGAAGGGTCATATGAATTTTGGGCCACTGCCTTAGGGCGGCCTTGGTCTTGCGGATTGCCGTTGCGCAATTCCCTAATGCCCTGCTGGAAAACACGACCCACAAACCGGAAGGAGGGATAGATAGGGGAGCAGGATGGCAGGCGGGCAGGGGCCACGACTCGCCTCGGGTTTCCCGCTCGTGTCAGCAACCCCGGTTGAGCTCGCGCCGGGGCGCCGCGCAACTTTTTGTCTGCTCCCACCAGTGCATGGTGTTGTTTTGGCGTGCCAATCGTGCAAGTGCGGTGTGCATTGTCGCCGCAGATCTTAGAATGGATCTTGGGTACGCACGGCTTCGAGTACAAGGTTCTCCTTCATGGTTTGCGGTCTGCACTGGTGTCACTGATGTTGCTGACTGTGTGCACGTATGTACATACATAAATATATATATATATATATGTACATATACATATATACGTATATGCATATACATATATATATATATGCATATACATATGTATACATAAATATATACATATACACATGTATGTACACATATACGTACACATACATGCATACATACACACATGCGTACGTACGTACATACATACATACATACATACATACATATACATATATATGTATACACACATATATATACATACATACACACATCGCAGATACATGCACGCGCAGAGAGGCGTGTTGGACTTGCAGCAACAAATACAAAATATGAGCCAACACAATGTGGCACGATACCATATTAGGTGATATAAGACACGGTATGCACTCAATATTATTGAGCACAAACCTATATACCAAAAAAGATGTATTTTATAGTATGTATCTTGTAATATCTACAATCTGGAGTGCACAAGATATGCAATATAACAGGCTGTAGTATACTATTATCAAGACAACATCTAACATATAATGTACAGTCTGCAACGTGTTATAATGCATACAGAATCAAATACACAACAAAACCTAGTGGTACATTATGTGTGTATATATATATACATACATTCATGTGGCAA